CCCTCACGGATTGCGTAGTGAGTCGTGCGAATGCGTGCGTGAATGGAGAACGCTGAACGTGTTTTGACGTTGTCGGCGACTGGTTCGGAGGTGCCGCATGCACTCGTTGTAAAATTGTGTGTTGACTGGTCCTCTTCATAGTCACCTTGTTTTGAGACTGGTTTGGTTTTCGCCAAGCTAACCATCTTGTAGGTAGGCGCTCTGCTTCGAGACTGCCAGCGCAACGGGTCATGTAGGCGCAACAACTGTACCCTAGCGGCATACCCCGCGCTCGCGCGCCAATTTCACTGCACGGCGACCGCTGATGCCCGTGCTCTGCATGCTCCCTCTGTCAGTCAGCCCTCCCCCTTCGGGGACCCGCCTGTTCTCACCCGCCGCAGAGGCAGCAGTAGGGCTTACACCAGGGACGCCTGCGTGTTTGGCCTGACACCGCGCCTGTGCTGGCCCCAGCCCGAGCACCCGCCGCGAAAGCAGCAGCATGACTCACCCCCGTGCTGGCTCCAGCTCGCCCGCCCGCCAACGAAACGGCAACAAGACACGCAGCAGGGATGCCGGCACGCGCTCGCGCACCGCCTGCACCGCGGCTCGCCGCCAGGTGCCAGCATGCCCACCTGCATTCGAGCTCGCATCACGCTGCTGTGCCTGTACTACGCTTCTGTCGGCGTTCGTTCGCTTGCCAACGAAACAACAGCAGTGCATCTCGCGACACGCTGTCTGCAACCAGCGGGAGCCTGTCGCGGGAGATAGCCGTTGAAGGCTGTGCCTGAGCGGTGCGTCTCTGCGCAGCGGCCCTCCCACCTGGGGGGCCGCTGCCACTCGCCGCTCCTGCAAGGCCTTCATGCTATCTCACCCTCTCTTCCATCATGCTTCGGACTGCTCCACTGGCAGCAGCACGGGCCATGGACAGATGGAGTTCGCTGAAGCAAAATCCACCATGCTGAGTCGCTCCATCTAGGCTCGGCTGCAAACCTGCATATCCGTCTCTTTTCCCTCCTCCTCATCCTCCTCCTCCTCCTCCTCTCATTTATCATATCGTGCTGCTCCTCTCCTTCAGCTCTCCGCTCGTCAGCTTGGCTACAACACTCGTGCACTGACGCCTGAGCAGCAGAAACCAAATCGCCCCTCGCCGTGGCGGCGGGTGCCCGTCGCACAAGATCGGCTGCTGGGCCCCCCTCTTCTCTGCTCTCCTTGCTCTTTCGCCCTTCCTGAGCTCTTTGCTCTCCTCGCTCTTTGCACGGTGGGCCCTTTCCGTGTCTCTGTGCACTTCAGCTTTGGCCTCGGCTTCAGCTGCCGATTCGGGCCCGCTCACCCGAGTGGGATGTTCCGCTCCCCCCCGCCCCTTCCTTGCCCTTCTCTCCGAGGGCCCAGCGCCGTTCCCTCGGCCAGCCTCAGCGCTGTCGAGGGCAGCGAGGCCCGCGTCGCGCCCAAGCGTCAGGCAACTCTGCCGAACCGTCCTGTGCTGTTGGGTCTTTCCGCGGCGCCCCGCGCCACTCCTTCCATGTTGATCCCCCTTCCCTCCTGCCTCTGCTCTCCGCATGCCCATGTCGGCATACCTCTCGCACGCTTCGTGGCCCCAGAGGGGGCTCCACCGAAGGCGTCGCGTTCGCATGCCGTCCCCCGCTCATTTCGGCAGCCCCAGAGGAAGCTCCACCGAGGGTCCAAGTGGCTGCGTTCGCATAGCGTCCCCCCGCTCATTTCGGCACACACACACACACCTCGCATCTTTCGTGGCCCCGCATGGAGCTGCTCCAAGGGCACCAGTGGCTGCGCTCGCATAGCCTCCGCCTCCTCATTTCGGCACACCCTATCGCACGTTTCGTGGCCAACGGCTGCGTTCGCACAGCGTCCCCCCGTTCATCTCGGCACATCCTTTACACGCTACGTGGGACCATCTGGAGCTTCTCCGAGGGCATTGGTGGCTGCGTTCGCATGGCGTTTCCCAGCTCATAACAGCACACCCCTCACACGTTTCGTCGCACCATCGGGGGCTCCACCAAAGGCCCCAGTGACTGCGTTCGACTAGCGCCCCCCCGCCCATGTCGGCACGCCCCCCGCCCGTTCCGTGGCCCAATCTCGGGCTCCACCGACGGCCCCTGTGGCTGCGGTCGTCCAGTGTTCCCCCGCCCATCTATAAGGCACGCTGGCACACCCCTCACACGCTTTGTGGCCCCAGAGGGAGCACCACACAAGGCCCCAGCGGCAGGGTTCGCATAGTGTCCCCACGCCCATTCAGGCACACTGGCGCACTCCTCACACGCTTCGCGGCCCCACAGGGGGCACCACACTTGGCCCCAGCGACAGGGCTCGCATAGTCCCCCAAGTCCATTTCGGCACACCCATCGCACGCTTCGTGGCCACACAAGGAACTCCACCGACGGCCATAGTGGCAGCGGTCGCATGACGTCTCGAGTCCATTTCGGCAGACCCCTCGCATGTTTCGTAGTCCTGGAGGGAGCTCAGCCGAAGGCTCCAGCGGCAGAGTTCGCATAGCGTCCCCCCCGCTCATGTCGGCACACCGGCGCACGTTTCGTGGCCCCATGGGCAGCTCCACGCAAGGCCCCAATGGCAGAGTTCGCATATCGCCCACCCGCCCATTTCGGCGCACAGCTTGCGCGCTTCGTGGCCACAGAAGAAGCTAGGGAGCTCAACCGAAGGCGTGGCAGCGGTCGCATGGCCTTTGTCTCGAGTCAATTTCGGTACGCCACTCACACCTTCGTGGCCCCATACGGAGCTACACCGAAAGCCGCAGGGGCAGCGGTCGCATGGCGTCTCTGGTCAAGTTCGGCACATTCTTCACGCGTTTCACAGCGAAACGTGGAGCTCTTTCGTTTCTCGACCTCGCCTCTTACTCCCGACAACCCTACTGTCGTTCGTGCTCGTCTTTCTCATCCACCACCTCCCAGTTCTCCTGCTCGCCCCCCTCCTTCTTCTCTTCTGTCTTGCACTACTCGCAGCTGCACGCGGTTGGGTCCTTCACCAGGACAATTCTGTCTCCATCCTGGTCTCCAGGGCTACGATTCCAATTTGCCCCAGTGCTAGCTAGCTTCAGCGGCACGCAGTTGCGATGCCCATCTCGAGTCGAAAAAGTCCCCCTCCTCCCCTCTCCTCCTCCTCCGCCTCCCCTCCTCCTCCTGCTCCTCCTGATTCTCCTCCTCTTCCCTCCTAGCTCCTAGGGCCGCGGAAGCAAAATGGACAGGACCACGTCGTCATGGAACACCTCGAGGAGGGCCTCCCGGAGCCGGGTCTAGTCTTTGGGTGGGGGGGGACGACCTCCGGTTTTCGGATCACGCTCTTCTGGGCGGCGGCCGTTTCAGGTCGGCCGTGAACGACTCGTCACGCGCAGGAGGAGGAGGAGGAGGCGGAGGCGGAGGCGGAGGAGGAGGAGGAGGAGGAGGAGGAGGAGGAGGAGGAGGAGGAGGAGGAGGAGGAGGAGGAGGGGAGGAGGAGGAGGAGGAGGAGGAGGAGGAGGAGGAGGAGGAGGAGGAGGAGGGAGGAGGGAAGGAGGAGCAGGGAGCAGGGAGAGGGAGGGGGGGAGGAGGAGGAAGGAGGAGGAGGAGGAGGAGGAGGAGGAGGAGGAGGGAGGAGGAGGAGGAGGAGCAGGAGGTGTCTCGGCCTCTGTGAGGGCAGCTGGCAGTGGCTCCCTGCTGGGCTGGTGTTGTGGGCCTGTGCCCTCCCAGCACCCCCCAGACCCTGGGCAGCGGTCCGCGGGGTCAGGGAAGGGGGAGAAGGAAGGGAGAGGGAGGAGGAGGGGGAGGGGGGGGGAGGAGGATGAGGAGGGGTAGGATGAGAAAGGATGAGGGATGAGGAGGGGATGAGGAAGGATGAGGGATACGGATGAGGAGGATGAGGAGGATGAAGAAGTATGAGGAAGGATGAGGGATGAGGAGGGGGAGGGGGAGGACGAGGAGGACGAGGAGGATGAGGATGGGGTAGGATGAGGAGGATGAGGACGAGGAGCAGAACGAGGTGGAGGGAGAATTCTTCTCGTTTGCTGCAGCCAACGTCAACTTAGATGGCCCCGCGGCCATCCTCTCCGACTGTGCTAACGTGAGGTCTTCCGTGTGCGCTCGGGCTCCTCTTGGAACGTCTTTCGGGGATTCCTCCCCCCTTCTTCTCCGCCGAGAGCCTACGCTGGCTCGGCCCTGGAGGGTTTCTCGGGTGCCTCGGGGAGCATTCGGGATGTTGCGAGAGTCGCTCCAGGAGGAAGGGACATGTTTTCGCGGACATCGCCGCGAAGAAGGGGGGCCGCCGCTCACCCCCACCCCGAACCTGAAGTCCAGGGAAGGATCAACTTTTATCTTCGAGCGAGTCAGGCTATGGTCAAGCTGGCTTGCAAGGTTTTTGCCTCCCTGGCCTAAGTTTGGCTGATCTGAAGCTGAGTATGTCAAGCCTCCTCCTCGGCCTCATGCTGACACCCTGGTCCATGATTGGACAGGGGTCACCTCTTGTGGCCAGTCTCGAGTTTGCCTCCGAGGGAAGCGCGGCGTTGATCGCCCGCCGCCAGGGAGATGTTCAAGCCCCCTCGGTTGGACACAAACTTGATTGCTCAGATGACGTATTGGTGTGCTGTTGTAGACTGCACCGACGATCCCTTCCTGTGCATCTGCCTCGACTGCAATTTCTACAGCACTGGTGGTCGAGTGGTGAAGCTGGGAGATCCCTGCGAAGGTAAAGTGCTGCCTGGAGCTGGTCCCACTGCTTGGCGGTACTTCCAGAGCGGCAGGCATCCCCCGCAGATCAAGATGGAGAGGAACGTCCAGTTCCTTCCCTCCTCATAGGCGGCATGACAGCTGCCGTCGAGAAGGCGTCGCGGTGAAACAAAATCCTCTTCCCTCCTACCTCCCCCGTGGCCCCGATCTTTCTCCGTCGCCCTCCTCGCTCGTCCCCTCCTCCTCCCTCCTCGTCGCCCTCCTCGCTCGTCCCCTCCTCCTCCCTCCTCCTGTTCCCTCCTCCTCCAGAGGCGAAGACGACCACGACGGCGGCGGCGATGGCGACTGCGCCTGCGACGCGACGTCCAAGGACGCGCCAGCCGTCACGCGGGCGGTGTCGAAGGCTACGCTGCCCACCGCCCCGGCGGCCCTGGACGCGCCGCGCAAACCCGACTCCCGGGTTGCCCAAGCGTGCGCGGTCTCACCCCGCAACTTCCGATATTTCACATCAGAGAGCACGACATGATACGGTATAGAGGCCTGTATCTTCGCTGCAGCTGCGAGCGCCCGCGAATGAAGCGGTAGGTCACTGTGGGGGATGGGTGGGGGGCGGCTGGAGTGGGTGGGTGGGTGGGTGGCATGTGTGCGTGTTTTTTTAGAACTACATACGCCTCTTTCCTACATGTGAATATGTTTTGATATCTATATACACAAGAGTGTAAACCTCGCTGCGCTTCGTCTTCTAATCTAGATCCTTGTACCGGCATGTTCTTTGACGATGTGTTTTAACATATTGATGTAGCCGCAATGTTGCTACAACCCATTCCCGAAGCTGACGTTGGGGGGGCTAACCTGGCGCAGCCCCGATTGGCAACAGACCCGAAGCGTTCCGTCCAAACCGAACGCTAGGTTCGGCACTCGCCCAGCACGAAGGGACGGCAGCTGCGGTCGCCAGTTGTCTCGCGCGGAAGGTGGCGCTCGCAAAAGACGGATGTAGCCGAGGCTCAAACGAGAGTACCAGTCTCACACACGGGTGCGGCCGGAGCTGGGGCGGTAGCAGAAATGTTTGAAATGGATGTGGCTGGCGCTTGGGCGGAACGCCAGTCTCCCATGAGGGCTGCGGGAACCGTGCGAGTGGAGCGGCATCACAGTAGTCAATCAGGGGCGTGGCTGGCGCTGCGAAATGAGTGCCGTGTTCCATGAAGACTTTGGCCAGCGCGCAGACGGCAGCATGTCTCCCAGACAGGGGTGTGGCCAGCGCTCGGGCGAAAGCGCCATTTCCATCCAGGAGTGGGGATTGCGCGCGACCGGCAATATCATCTGCAATGAGGGCTGTGGCCAGCTCTGAAGCGACAGTACCGCTCGTATTGGAAAGTGTGGTCAGTTCTGGGGTGGCTGCGCCAATCTTGGATCAGGATGCGGTCACGGATGGGCGAGAGCACCATCGCCAAAGTATGGCAACCCGCGCAGGCGAAACGAAGGAAAAGGAGGAGGAGGAGGAGGTGAAGGAGGAGAAGGAGGAAGAGGAGGAAGAGGAGGGGGAGGAGGAGGAGGAGGAGGAGGAGGAGGAGGAGGAGGAGGAGGAGGAGGAGGAGAAGGAGGAGGAGGAGGAGGAGGAGCAGGAGGGAGGAGGGGAGGAGGAGAAGTGGGATGTGGGAAGGCTGGGAAAAAATGCAAGCGATGATCATCCTACGGCCCCGTAGGAAGGCAGGGTTCACATAGCGTCCCCCCGGGAGCTCCACCTGCGGGTCCAGTGTCAAAATTCGCACATCGTCGTTCCGCCCGTCTCGGCACACCCATCACACCGCCCGCGTATGTCGACTGTCTCTCCACACGGGTCGTACCCCACAAGGAGTTGCGTGAACGGCCCCAGAGCCAAGGTTCGCATCCCGCGCCTCGCCCATGCCGGCGCACCCCTGACCTGGATCGTGACCCCGTGGCGTTTGTAGTGCGTGTCGGGGCCTGGCGGCGTTTGTTTGTGGGGCCTCTTAAAAGCCGTGAAGTAAATCGTGAATCGGGAGCCTCTTGGAGCCTGGGGGAGCTTCCTGGGAGACTTCTGGGGGCATTCTGGAAACTCTGGGGGCGTTCTGGGCTTTGTTGGGGGTCTTCTTGGGGCTCTTTTAGGCCCTCCTGGGCTGTCCTGGTGCCCTCTTGGGCTGTCCTGGGGGGATGGGGCCGTCAGGGGGGCCTCCTATGACCCTCTCGGAACTCCCTCGGGGCCCTTGTGGGGCCCTCTGGGGCCCCTCGTGGCCGTCTTGGGGCTCTCTAGGGCCATCGGGTGCCCCGTGGGGCTATCTTGGGCGCGCCCCTGGGCGTCGGGGCGCGCTGCACGCCGTCTTGGAGCCAACTTGAGCTTCTGGGGGCTCTGTTGGGCCGTTGCGGGGCCGTCTTGGAAGCCTCTTGGGCCGTCCTGGGGGGATCTCGGAAGCCTCTTGGGCCGTGGTGGGATGCAGGATGTCCAGAATGACGAGGACGTCAAATTCTGCCAAACACCTTCGGAAAAAGCATTGATTTTTGCATGTATGCGCTCTTGGGAGTCTTGTGGGCCCGTTTGGGGCCGTTTGGGAGCCGTTCTTGGGCGTCTTGGGCCGTATAAAGCGCTTCAGCCGATCGTTCGGCGCGCGGGTGGCTGGTTGGGGAAACTCGGAAGTCCGTTCGACAGGTGCCCCGGGGCCGGGGAGGACCGTCGAAAGAAAAAAAAGTATGGGGGGCGTGTGTGGGCTCCGAGGGGGCTTTTCTCCATGCAGGATGCATAACTATAGGAATATGCGGAAGACAGCACGCGCTGCGGCCCCACCAAGGGTGCTGCCCTGGCCTCAATTTTCATGCACGTCACACGGCTCAAATGTGCTCCCCTGGCGGCGAGGCTGCTTCAGCCTCTGCGCTGCCCTCAGCCTCGGCGCGTTTCTCCTTGGCGGCAAATCCTGGCCTACAAGGCAACCATGCGGTAGGCCGCAAATCCGGGCGCGCTGGCCTGCGGCGTGCGGCGAGATAGCCAGCCCGCCAGGAACGCCTCGTCGCGGCCAGCCTCCAGGCGCTCCGCTACCCTGGCCTTCTTCGCCCTCGCCTGGTGCCAGACCGCAGCAGCAGAGGTAGCGGCGGCTGCCAGGCGCCCCGGCTGGCCGCCAGCTGGGCCCCCGGAGCCGCTCGGCGGGGCGAGCAGGAAGCCCGTCTGTTTCGCCGCCAGGCTGGCAGCCGCGGGCGCGTCTCGGCCGCTCTGCCTCGGAGTTGCGCGCGCACTGGCGCTTGGAGCCCGGGTCCACGGGCGCCAGCGTGTCGAGGGAGCAGCGGTTCGCATACACGGTGGCCCGCCCTATCCAGACAGCGGTCTCGCGGAGGCGCGCAGCTGCCGCGCGGACCAGCTGCGCCTGGGCCCGGGGCACCGCATCGCGGTGGGCGATCAGCTTCGCCAGGTCGTCGACGAGGTCGTTGCTGGTCACGTCGTAGGCCTGCACAGGCCGGCCGTTGCTCATCCTCTTGCCGACGTAACTCGTGGCAATATTGTGATTGTGAGCTGGCATCCACGCCACCCGGTGTGGGCTCGACTGGAGCGAAGCCGAGATGGTCCCCACGCTCTGGCCAGGGTCTGGCTGGGAGCGGGTCCACCGCAAGTCTCTCTGTGCGCCGAGCTGCGCCGCGGAAGAATCCACCTTCAGGGAAGCATCGGGGACAAAAGACTGGACGGCCACCAATCAACCCCACAACTCCGTGGCGTGAATGCCAACCGCCCACGGCGGGGTGCGTCCATGCGCCGCTGCCACGAGCTGCTGGTCGCCGTCGTACGAAGTGATGGCGCATCCCTGCCGAGCGCACAGATCATGCAAATCGGCCTCCCCATCCAGTCTAAAACCGTCAACGTGCGCATCGACCTGCGCAGCCCGCGGCCCAGGCGGGACCACCCATTCGAAAGACTCCTGCTCTGGCGGCGGGTCAACTGAAGAGGCAGGCGACGGTGCGATGCCCCTGGTGAGCAGAGCATCATCAGCCGGGCTCAGCGAGAGTACGCCCTCGGGGTCCGTGTGCTGGCGGACCAAATGTTGAATCCACGCGGGGGCCATCCTCCGCATGTATGGCGCCGTGGCGGGGCACGTGAGAATGCGATGCGCCAGGTGCCCAGTGAACCTGGGGTTGGCTACCTGCGGGTCGCACAGCCTCTCGCGCACGCACAGCCTGCAATTGTCGGTGCTTGCCAGATCTACTCGGCACAGTCTCGCTTTGGGCCACTGCCAGTTCGCGGAGACCGACCTCAAGGCACCCTTTCGGCTGGGTCCCAGACCTCGCCGTCCTTCCCGCTGAGGAGCTTGAAGATGGGCTGCACGAAAAGCCCGAACCCTCCCGAACCGCGGACCAGGTGAGGATGCGGGCATTCGACGCGACGCCACCTCAATTGCCAAACAGTCTGCTGCACGAAGCGTTGGGCCATGGCCGGCGAATCCCTGATGAAGTCGACGTGCTAGCCCCAGTCGGTGCGCACCTCGGTGCAAGACACAGCCGAGCCGCAGTGCCGACGCCACGAAAGCAACGGCGGTGCCCCGCACCCTGGCCCACGGCAAGGGTCGATCCGCCAAGTCGGCTAGGGCAGCGGACACGAGCTTTTCCAAGGCGGGCCTTGGTAGCCAGGCCCCCCACACTGCCTCGGCCCGCTCTGCCATGGGGGCCTCGTGGGCTGCGAAGGCAGGATCGGCCTCATGCCGCGCATGGAGCCGTCGGCGAGGATGAAAGCGATGTCCAACTCCCTGCCGCCGCCCGGCACCGAGGCTGCCGCGGCGGCGGCGCGCTGTGCCTGGAGCACGGTGTCCGCGACGCCCGCGTTGGCCTGCCCGTGCACGAGGCCAGCGGTGCCTCCTCTCCGGAGTGCGGCTGCCGTGCTGCGGGCCCCGGCCCACCGGCGGAGCTCAGCGAGCTGGTCATGTCCCGCCGCTGGCGCCCGCAGTGGTGCTGCCGCGGCCGCGGAGGCGGCTCGGGCCCGCCGACGCTGGGGCCCCCGCCACAGGGGCGCCCAGGCCGCGCGCTGCGTCGGCAGGCGGTGCCGGGCAGGCGGTGGGGCCCGCGGCCGGTTCCGCCTCTGGAGTGCAGGCCTCGGCGGCATCTCCGCCGCCGCGGCAGGCGGCGCCGCCAGCTGCACGGAGCCCACGGCAGCGCCAGGGTACCAGCAAGACTGGATCGTGCGGCTCGGGCGCTCCGGGAGGCCGCAGCAGGCGAGAGCCCAGGGCGGCGAGATCGGGGCTCGCAACGCGCCCAGGGGCCTGAAATCCTGGACCGCGCCGCCGCAGGCCCTGATCCGCAACAGCTTGAGCCAGAAGACTACGGTGGGTGCGCAGCACAAACACAGGCACAGACACACATATACACAGACACACAGACAGAGACAGAGACGGAGACACAAACAGAGGCAGAGACACACACACACACACACACACCCACACGCACACAGGCACACACGCACACACACACACGCACATACACAAACGCACGTGCAAACGAACACGCACACGCACACGCACACGCACACGCACACACACACACACGCACACGCACACGTTCACGCACACGCACACGCGCACACAAACACAAACACCCACACACACACAAACAATACTCCCCTCATCCTCAGCCGCTCCCCCCCGAGACGGCCGCCGTTTACCGTCTCAAGTCCACCCTATATCCCCTGCGGAGGTCTCCGAGGCCGCGGGAGGCCCCTGGAGACCGTGGGCCCGAGCGTGGCCGCACGACGTCTGAAATGCGCTCACAATCCGCCCAGGACCCTTTTTGTCCATCTCGTTGTTTTTTCCGAGTCGTGTCCAGCCGCGGCGACTATACCTCCAGAAACGTGCTCCAACCTCCAGGCTGACGACGTCGATGGACGGCAATGACGACGTCCCGAAGCGCCTGACCGTCCAGCCCAAGGGCTGCTGCGCCGCCGCGGGTGCCGCGGCGGTCACGGCGACGCTGGCGGCCTGCTGCGCCGCGGCGCCGAGCACCTGGCCAGCCACGCCTGCCACGCGGCGGCAGCGGGCGAGCCGAGCAAGCGAGGAGGCCCCCCCCCATTGCTGGCGCGCGGCCCCCTCTGGAGGCCTCCAGACACGTCCAGGAGGCATCAGCCCTGGCGCCGGGCTGTGGTGCCACCGCCGCTGCCCGCTCCGGGCTCGCTGCAGTGGAAGGAGGAGGAAGAGGAAGAGGAAGAGGAAGAGGAGGAGGAGGAGGAGGAGGAGGAGGAGGAGGAGGAGGAGGAGGAGGAGGAGGAGGAAGAAGAGGAAGAGGAAAAGGAGGAGAAGCAAAACGCAAGGACAAGTCCGACCCACGGGCGCGACTACAGACTAAATGGGCCCACTTCAGGGGCGGCCGACGACGCTGTTTGATGGGAAACCATCTCCGAGCTAGCAGGATGAGCGGGAGGGATCTCCGTCGCACGTGCGAGCACCACCGCCAAGGCAGGGGATCGCCATGGGACATGGGATACATCGTAGCACATGCAGGGAGGGCTGAGGAGCGGAGTTCGCTCAAGCCAAAGGGGTCTGTGCAGAGGACCGTGCAGGGCAGGTGAGCTCTGCCCACCAGAGGGGAAGCAACTCTCCCCGCGGCGCCTGGAGAGGACAAGCTCAAGCTGCCGTTGCGCATCGCCGATGCCCCGGTGCCACGGAGCAGAGCCAACGGCAACCGTTCCAAGCGAGCGATGATCAGAAACGGGTCTTACGCGAGATGGCATAGCGACCTTATGCGCCAACGTCCGAACAAACCCTGTTTGCCCCCGTCGCTCAAATGTCTCCAAACGTTTGCGAAACTCCGTGCGCCCGGGGCAGACGTGACGCGACATTTCGCCGCTGACCAACAAATTCGACAACATGTAGGCCCATACTCATTTTCGGGAGGCTACGCGTCGGTGTCAGAGTTGGGGGCACCGAGCCACACGACAAGTGTGAGAGAAGCGGCCGTAGCTGCTCTTCGGACGCTCGGAATCGTAGCTGGAGAGTCGCATCCACCTCCCTCCCTCCCTCCCTCCTCGTCCCCCTCCTCCTCCTCCTCCTCCCTCGCTCTCGCCCTCGTCCTCGTCCTCGTCCTCGTCCTCGTCCTCGTCCTCCTCCTCCTCCCTCATTCGGTGGACGCCCGCTCTCAAGCAGCGGACTGCCTGCACCCCTCCGCCGCCGAGTCCGTGCGGAGGGTCGACCGTGCCCCGTCGGCCCCCGCTCCGCCCGGGAGGGCGGGACGCACCCCTTCTTCGGGCGCCCCTGCACCCCCGCACCCCCCCGCACCGCTCCCCGCTGCTCACCCAGAGGACGAGCGCCTGGAGACGGACTCCCTGCACCCCCTCCACCGCGGAGTCCACGCTCGGGAGCGGCCAAGAGGGGAGCGTCCAAGAGGCGGGGGTGCAGATCATGGCTGGCGGCATGTGCGCGGCCCAGGGGGGGGGCCAGGGACGCAATGAAATGAGAAGAGGCGCCATGACATCTGGGGAAATATCATGGCCCACGCCATGATATCCACCCCCCCCTGTCATCAACCCCCCTCTTTGCCGCCCCCGACACGCGGAGGTTCGACCGTGCCCCCGTCTGTCCCCGCTTCGCCCAGGAGGGCGGGGCGAAGCGCTGGGGACGCCGTGGCAATCGGGTGCTCCACGCGGGATGGGCAAGTCCCGTCCTGTCTCAGCGCCCCGGGGCGGGAGGAGGCACTGGATCCCGCTGTTGTTTGTTCTCAAAACCCGTACATATATATATATATACATACACATATATATATAGAATCACATGTACATACATGTATACATATATGTGTGTGTATGTATGTACATACGTACGTATGTACGAGTGTATGTCTCTATGTCTGTATGTCTGTATCGTCAGATGTGTGTATCGGTAGATGTAGAATGCATATGCATATATATATATATATATATATATACATATCCCCCCTCAAGCACTGGGGGAAAAACTGTTGCATTTGAGAGGCGTTTTATTCCTCACTTACAGCCACTGCGAAGTATTATACATCGCCACAGCCCCACCAGCGAAGTATTATATATACATATATATATATATGCATATATTTATATATGTCTACATCTGTGTATATATATACACAACCGTGGATTGGGACCGTACTGCGAACGCCAGTAACGACGCCATCCTGCGAACATGTGGTCCCACAAGCTGCTTTGACCTTCGCTTGAGATGCGAAGAAGTCTCGACCGAGAACGCCGCTTCTGAGTGTGGGGGCCTCTCTGGCCAGGGCGCTTCGGAATAATCGTGCGAGGGTTTTTCGATCGGAAACGGTCGAATGTATCCGCGGGCAACTTACCATTTTATTGAGATGCGAAGAGTCTCGACCGAGAACGCCGCTCCTGAGTGTGGGGGCCTCTCTGGCCAGGGCGTCTCGGAGGAAAGTGTGAGAACATTTCGATCCGAAACTGTTGTCGTCGCAGTTGGACCGTCACCAACTTCATTGAACTGCGAGGATGTCTGGAGCGAGAACGCCATTCCTGAGTTTTGTGGCGTCTATGGTAAGAGCGTCTAGGAATCAATTGTGACGAAGTATCGATCGGGAGCCCTTGTCGTCACAGTTGGGCCGTCACCAACTTGACTGACTTGCGAGAAGGTGTCGAGCGAGAGTGCACTTCGGGGTTTGGGGGCCTCTCTGCCCAGGGCGTCTCGGAGTAAAGAAATCTCTGGCTGGTGCCGTTGTCGTCGTAGCTGGAGCTTGTGCAGCCGAGGTTTGTCCTCGAGATCGCGCTGGAGCGGGAGCCTCGCTTTCGAAGAACATGTAGCCGGCGCAGGGGCGAGAGCGCCCAGAACAGTTTCCACTGACCAGAATTAATTTCCCAACCAACGTTAGCACTTATGGGTTCTCACTGAGACCGCAATATGGGTGCGACGCCGCGGCAGGCCTCGACAGAATTGAGTGGAACAGTTGTGTGCGATTCTGCGACGGGAAGCTGGGGGATACGCGGGGTGGGACAGAGTTGCCGCCTCACCGACTGAGTGGAAGCAACGCGTGGGTAGACTGGTGGCCCGCATCTAGCCAACGCACGGCGCAGCGTACGGTAGAGTAGTAGTAGTAGTAGTAGTAGTAGTAGTAGTAGTAGTAGTAGTAGTACTAGTAGTAGTAGTAGTAGTAGTAGTAGTAGTAGTCGTAGTAGTAGTCGTAGTAGTAGTCGTCGTCGTCGTCGTCGTCGTCGTCGTCGTCGATGTAGCAGTAGTGCTCGTAGTAGTAGTAGTAGTAGTAGTAGTAGCAGTAGTAGTAGTAGTTGTAGTAGTAGTGGTAGTAGTAGTAGTAGTAGTGGTAGTAGTAGTAGTAGTAGTAGTAGTAGTAGTAGTGGAGGTAGTCGTAGTCGTAGTAGTAGTAGTAGTAGTAGTAGTAGTAGTCGTAGTAGTAGTAGTAGTCGTAGTAGTAGTCGTAGTAGTAGTAGTAGTAGTAGTCGTAGTAGTAGTCGTCACAGTAGTAATCGTAGTAACAGTAGTAGTAGTAGTAGTAGTAGTAGTAGTAGTAGTAGTCGTAGTAGTAGTAGTAGTAGTAGTAGTGTAGTAGTAGTAGTAGTAGTAGTAGTAGTAGTAGTAGTAGTAGTAGTAGTAGTAGTAGTAGTAGTGGTAGTGTTAGTAGTAGTAGTAGTAGTAGTAGTAGTAGTAGTAGTAGTAGTAGTAGTAGTAGTAGAAGTAATCGTAGTCGTAGTAGTAGTAGTAGTAGTAGTAGTAGTAGTAGTAGTCATAGTAGTAAAAGTAGTAGTAGCAGCAGTAGTAATAGTGGTAGTGTACTAGCAGTCGTAGTCGTAGTCGTAGTAGTAGTAGTAGTAGTAGCTGTGGTAGTAGAAATCGTAGTAATAATAACCGTCGTAGTCGTAGTACTAGTCGTAGTAATCGTAGTCGTAGTAGTGGTGGTAATAGTACTTGTAGTAGTTACAAGGGTAGTAATAATCGTGGTGGCAGTAGTGGTCTTAGTAGTAGTAGAAGTAGTAGCCGTAGTAGTAGTAGTAGTAGTAGTAGTAGTAGTAGTAGTAGTAGTAGTGGTAGTAGTGTTCGTGGCAGTAGTAATAGTCGTAGTAGTAGTCGTCGTCGTCGTCGTAGTAGAAGTAGTAGTAGTAGTAGTAGCAGTAGTAGTAGTAGTAGTAGTAGTAGTAGTAGTAGTAAGAGTCGTAGGTGTAGCAACGGCAGTATTAGTAGTAGTAGTTGTACTAATCGTAGTGGTGGTAGTATACGTAGTAGTAGTAGTAGTAGTAGTAGTAGTAGTAGTAGTAGTAATAGTAGTAGTAGTAGTAGTAGTAGTAGTAGTAGTAGTAGTAGTAGTAGTAGTAGTAGTAGTAGTGGTAATAGTAGTCGTAGAAGTAGACGTAAACACACGGATAGTAATCCAATAGTAGTAGAAG